CATTCGGCGGCAAATGGAGCCCATCAGAGGGAAAAAACAAACAACAAAAAAACAAAACAAGCAACATGAAAGGCAACAAACGGGGTTGGGCCTCCTTTTGGGGGCATTTTAAGGGCACATGTATGCAAATTCCAAGTGGGTTTCTTGCAAGGGGGCTTCAGAAAGAAACCAGCTGCCGCACCTGTTTTTTTTTTATTTTTTCTCAAGCTTTTCAAAGGAAGCGTTGGCGTTTTCTGCTATGAATTGCAAACGGCAATTCACACAAGGGACCTGGCTTCCGGCCAGCTCCCTCGACTCTGACTCCACCCCCCCCCCAGCGCACGCCAGGCCAGGACGCCCTTCCGATCGGATAGCTTTGAATGGCTCTCTTGAACGAGGGCTCCTATATGCTATCTTCAACCTGGAAACGCCCACCAAAAAACATATCCCAAGCCCTCGCTCCACGGAGTGCCCTCCAAACAAGCCCATTTTTTCCCATACTCAGCAATCCGGCCGAGGTTCCCAGTAGGCTACATTTGTCCTCTGCCTGCGTCCTCAACTCCTAGCGAGCAAATCGGAAGTCCCTCTTCCAAGGGCTGCCATGCGGGGGCTGTCAAGACCTGAACCCTTTTTCTGACCACGACATGTGGGTGTGTTTGGTTGAAAGGGAAACCAAACACGAAGACAACAACTTTGAGGCTTCCCTATGAGCCCGTGTGCCTTGAAGGGGAGCTGGAATGACCCCTATAAGCCGATTCAAGCTGATTCCCACTCTGACTCTGCTCCTGGGAGTCCATTCCCTCGCTAATGCTTCAAAGAGCGCGTGGACCAGGAAGCTCGAACACAAAAGACGATTGTGTGGGTCTTAACCAGGATTGGTGGCAAGAGTGTTGGAAACAACTCGGAACCTCTCCCAACCAGGATTGGTGGCATCGTGCATCGAGGCTTCTGCCATGATTTCGGAGACCCAAGTGGCTTCCGTAGGTCCCAAAACGGCTCATTCCAAGAACGGAACCTCACAGAGGTCGGTAAGGTGGTTCAAAAAAGGCCTCTCTTAATCGCAGGGTCTAAACCTTTTCCCAGGAAGGACTCAAACCCGAACCGCGACACCGAAAAACCGACTTTGGGGGCTCGGGGCTTGCGCAACGAGACGTTCTCCTGGAGCTAGGTTGTGGGAAATGGGAATCCACGAATCTGTGATACGACAAAAAGGGCCTAACCCCAAAGACTGACACCCCAAATCTTCAGGGGGAGACTCCCTAAAGTATCACAGAAGTGGTTGGACAAACCCCGAGTAATTCCACAACCGTTCTCCTGGAGCGTCTCACGCAGGAAGCTGTGGCTCTCTTTGAAGTCCTCGCTGCTCTCCACGGCCCTGGCGCTCCGAAGGCCAGTGATCCCAAGGGCTCCCATCCCCAGAACCTCAGGCGTCCCTGTCATATTTGGGCTGGCCCAAATGTATCCTTTAAGGGGCCCTGCTAAAGAGGAAACCCTGGCCAACCTTGTTTCAGGACAAGCTGTTTGTTTGCTTCACGAACCAAAGCAAGCCATCTTTGCTGTCTGTCAGGACTTTCGGCCATTGGACGCCAAATCAACTTCTGAGTCTGAAGGACCATGGTCTGGTTGTCCAAGCCGGGAATCGGGGGGGCTCTCCGAAGTTAACATTGGGAAGAGTGAAGACTGTTCCCATTGCATGAAGAAGAATCTGTGGGTGTGTTTTTGATTGAGGGTAATCTGTTAGGATGGGTTTTCAAGGCCTAGTTTGAGAGACAAACCCGTAGCTCTAAGCTGCTTCCAAATGCTCGAGGAAAGCGCAGGCCCATGCCTGGATAGCAGTTGGAGTGTTGGTTATTTTCCGGACTGAACCCTTTCCCCAAGCGAATTTCCCAACTGTGCGAGAGAGAGAGAGAGAGAGAGAGAGAGAGAGCAAGATGGGGCCCACACACCCCTCCTGATGCACCTGGGTCCAGGCTGCAGCCGGTCCTGGCAAGCAAGACTGGATGACAGCCCAACTGAAAGAAGGCGAGCGTGGGGGTCAATTCCCATGACAACATGGATTTGCCTAGGGGGTGGAAGTCCCCTAAATTCCTGTAAAAACAAATCCAAAACGTGTAGCCTCAAAAAAAAAAGACAAACCCGCATTCACCTACTGACCGCATCCCTTTTCGTGGCTTTGGGCCCCGATTGCTCCGACTCGCTACCTCGAAATGCGATTTGACTGACAGGTTGAATGCGCAACGGCGTCCATCGGATGCTTCACACATTGTCTGGTGCAAGCGATATCAGAAACCGTTTGGTAGCCGTTGAACGGCTCCCCAGCAGGGAATAAGTTGAAATAACCCGAATCAAGCTTAACTATCCAACTGGTGGTTTCAATTGATTTCCCAAAAAAAAACATAAAAGGGTTTCTGCCTCTCTCGCTCTCTCTCTCTCTCTTCTTTTGGTGCGTGTGTGTGTGTGTGTGTGTGTGTCTTTGTTGAGGGTACCCTTTTTGGGTCGTCAACAAACCAAACATTTCAGGGACCCTCTATCTTGAGACACGCGATTCACGAGCCACGTGCTACGTTCCCGGCTCCCGTCGCCTCCAGCGTGCGCGCCAAGTCGCCCAGCACGATGGGACCTCGGCCTCTGACCACGTCAAAGTCAATGCCCATGGCCGGCAGCGGCGTGAGGATGTCAGAGAAGACCTCAGAAGTTTTCCGAAGGTCAGCTTCCTTCCAATGGTTTGGTTAACTACGCCCTACAAGCGGCGGCGCAAATCCCCAAACCACCAAACCACCAACTAAGGGCGACCTGTATAGAGATGCGACCACACAACTGTGCACACAGAGCGTGGCAAGAGCCAAAGGAACCTACTATTCTTTCTTACGATGACATGTGACTGATCTTGTTCAAGCAAGAATATGAGAAACGCTGGGACAAATCCGCTTTTGGCCACTTCCATCCACTGGTCACATGCTTACCCTGTGCATGTCTCTCTGCCAAGTCACGATGACTCCGTCCATGCCATACCTGTGATCGGCACATACCAAAATGAGGGCTAACAAAAACAGAAAAAGACACATGCAAAACATGGTACATGTCAAAACTACGTACACCTCTAAACCTCTGAACGGCTGGCTTCACATTGGCTTCGCAGGACCAGACGTTAAGCGCAAGTCCGCCACATACCTTGAGGCCAAACCCTTTTGCAAGGCCCATCCCGATCTGCGGGTTGTCATGTGAGCGAGTCTGCTGACACTGGACTTTCCCTCTTTACTACAGATGATGATGACGACGATGATAGTGATGCTGATGCTGCTGTTTGTGCTGCTGCTGCTGCTGATAGACTAAACGATGAGGCTTCTGATGATGATGATGATGGCTACGATGATGCTGCTGATGATGATGATGATGAGGATGATGATAATGATGATGATGATGATGATGATGATGATGATGATGATGATGATGATGATGATGATGATGATGATGATGATGATGATGGCTATGATGATGATGATTATGATGATGATGATGATGAGGAGGAGGAGGAGGAATGCTATGATGATGCTGCTGATGATGATGATGAATGCTATGATGCTGCTGCTGATGATGCTGCTGATGATGACGATGGCGATGATGATGATGATGATGATGATGATGATGATGATGATGATGATGATGATGATGATGATGATGAGGAGGAGGAGGAGGAGGATGAGGAGGAGGATGAGGACGAGGATGAGGATGAATTGACCGCTAGCTTGACAGATGTGAATTGGGGGGCGTCGGCGCCCCCTCTCTCAACTCGAGGTCTGAGAGCCCAGCGCTCTCCAGCACTGCAGAGACAACTCGATGGCCATGCTGGGCGTCTCGGATCGTTGCCTTCCACCGATGACCCGAGCACGAAGACCCGATGACCCGACCCACCGATGACCCGTACAACCTGGAGGATTCCCCCCCTTTCAGAGGAAGACAAGTCTTCCATCTCCCAGGTTGGATGTTGGATGGGAGGCTACTTACTAGTATGTGTTGTGCTTTGCAAAAAGAGCCGCCATGAAGTCGTTGGTAAGAGTCTAAGCTCTGAAGTATGCGTAATGAACACATCTGCAGCGGACTGTGTGATTGCATCTTAGACAAATAACCCGGGGACAATCATGGCACCCGTCTTGCCTGAATGGATATCTCTCCGAGTACTTCCTGAAGTCCTTCATGTAGCGCCCGGCTTGGCGCATCAGCCACACGGGCGTATGTTCCCCTGTCTCGCCCTGTGCCACGCGCAGTAGCAGGTCATGTGGGGGCGGCGTACTTCTGCCGGCCCTGCGAGCCAGGCGGCGCCGGGAGCCCGCCGCTAGCGCCGCCGCCGAGAAAAACGCCGCCGCGGCGATGCCCCCGGCGGCGATGCTCCCGGCGCCGGAGCCGGCGCTGGCGCGGCCGTCCACAAGTCGCGGCGCCGGACGCGGTCGAAGTGGAAGCCTCGACGATGGGAGCGCAGTCCCTGCGAAAGCAAGGCTGTCGTCCATCATAGGCAAAAAGAGCTGCAAGCCAAATGCTACAGCTCAGCTCACTGGCGCAACCCCCGAAAGTCAACACGGGCGATGCCTGCTCAAATCTACTTGAATCTCAAGTTCTCAGAGCCCTGGGTATATGGCTGTGGGTCAAGAATGGGTACCCAAAATGGGTTGCCCTGGCAAATGGGGCCCAGGACTAAAACCTGGGGTCCGATTCCTGGTGGTTTAATTTGACCCACACCCATGGGCATGAATTTTAGTTGGGGAATGTTTGGTGGACATCATCTAGGCGGGGAATCATGTCCACCAACCACAAACGAGGTGGTGCCCCCTTAGAATTCACGGCCATATGGTCGTGGCTCAAAAAACCAGTACCAAAATGGAACCCTGGTAAGTGGAAACATGGACCAAAACCTGCGGTTTGCCCCTGGCTGTTTAATTTTGAGCCACACCCATATAGGGCTCCATGGATTTCCGAGATCCGAGAAAAGAAATCCACCCGCACCGCCATGAGCGCCGGAGCCGCACCTGGCGGCGGCGGCGGAGCCTCACACGTGCGCCATGGCGCCCTCTGCGTGCTAAAATTTCGGGGTGGGGGAGGGCGGGGTGGGGGGGAGGGGGGGTGGGGCTCAATTTGTTTCACCAGGAGGGGCAAACCGCAGGCTTTGGTCCATGTGTCCACTTACCGGGCTTACCAGGGTTCCATTTTGGTACCGGGTTTTTGAGCCACAGCCAATTAGAAAAAACCCTTTTGGCAGCCCTCTAAAAGGCGCCGCGTATCTGCGCGTATCGAGGTCCAACAAGCACCCCACCAAAGTTGTTTGACCACCCCAACAAGTGCCTGGTTTTTCGTTGCGCGCAAAGGAGGCCCGGCTGCGAACCCGAAGCCCAGTGAAATCCAACCCAAATCCCAAGACGCGGCGCCCGCGAAACGCGGAGTGCTTGTGCAGCCGAGTCCAACACCGGAGAGGGGCGGACCCTGAGGCTGCTGGAGAGGCCTCGCAAGAGGAAAACGCGCGCCAGTTGGGCATGGCTCGTCCAAGTCGCCCAAACATCTGGCTGTCCTTTTGGAAAAATGAACACCCCCTTATTCATCAACCCCTGTTTATTAATATGGGGGTGTCCCTGGTTTTTCGTGGGGATTGTTCACGTCTGGAGAAAGAAAAAAAAACACCCCCCTATTAATAAACTGGGGTTGATGAATAGGGGGTCAACATAACTGGTAACCATTCAAAAAACCAAGCTGACAAAGGGCATCTTTCGCCTACCTCTGGCCGACCCGACAACACCCTTGATTTCCTGGCTGCAAACCCAATGAGAGAGCTCCGCATGAACAGCGAGCATGTCAAGAAACTGTTATTCCTCAAGAACTACTGCTTGGGCGATTCAACTCCCGAAAACCATGCTTCAAACCCCAATCTAAACAACGTGCTTGTCATATTTCGTAGACCCTTGGCTACATCATAACTTTTATGTGACGCAAATCCCTCTTACAATCTGCATCCCACTACTTGGCTTGGATTGGTGGTTTGGTGGTGACTTGGAGTGGTGTCCCAGTAAAATTTGCCCTCTACAAGAAATCAGGGGTTCAATCCAAACCACCAATTCAGTAAGAGACCTGAGTACCTGATATCACTCCGCGGAAATGATCATGGCTCCAAGAAAAGCTTCCTCTATGGATGATTTTCTAGGCTCCATGAGAAAACTGTAGAGCACAATAGGATGTCGCATCTTGGTAAAGGTCTAAGGATCAAAACAAAAAGATCGCCGAGTTCCCGGACCCACAAACCGGGCAAGATCGGGGAACATTGCCACCCAAAAATCCTGGGGCGACTGCCCTGGAAGGCCTGGAGGCCAGTTGTGCCCCTTTTCCACTTCGGGGAAAATCACATGGGTTGCGTTTGGATTGCAGGAAACAAGGCATCGTTGATCGCGGGTATTCCCGCGTTCCCTGCCGGAAACGCCCTTGCAAGCTCCGGCTGGGAAAGAGCGCGGGGCGCCATCTCGCAGAAGACTGAATCAAAGTCCTGGCGACATGGTTTCGTCCAGTTGTTCTTTTTTGTTCTTTCTTGTTGGGTGCTGGGGGTGGCTTCCTTTTTCGGGGTGGCTTCCATTTTGTTTTCTTCTTGGGGTGGCTTCCTTTTTAGGCGGATGGTTGCTGTTGTTTCGATGTGTCTTCTTTCTTGCGGGAATAGTGGTGGTGTCTGTCTTCTAGGTTCGGCGCTTTCTTTTCAATCAACCCCAGAACAACCCAGCCCAACCCAACCCGGAACAACCATCACACCCAACAAGAACAAAACAATCGCCGCTGGTGGCTTTTGCAAAAAATCGGGCGTGCCTCCTGTGCAGGAGGGCTAATCATCGCCACCTCGAGCTGATTCGGCGGCAGTCGGACTGTCCGTTTCTAACCTCATGTGCATTGGACACCTGTTGGCGGACTTGAACTTCATTTGTGGAAAAAGAAAGCTGGCCAATGGATGGTGTTCCAAGAAACGTCGGCACAAAGAGAATTCGTGCAAAAGCGCATCAGCAAAGTTGGCATAAATCAAGTTATGCAAATGAGGGAATTCTTGTTCCACCCAGGCTGCCCAGACTGCATCTCAGCCCGGAGCAGGACCGCTCCCGCGCATGACTTGCTCCATGTTGCCCGCCATCTGGCGGATCATGGTCCTTGGGATCTTTGGGTGTGTACTGGTAACTTCGGGGTGGGTGTTAAAGAGAACAAAGGTGGTATCCCCAAACAACCCCGGAACCTGATGAAACCGAATCTCCGAAACCCTCCCTGCCTGCCCCAAACCACCAACCAGAGCGTATCTGGGCAGAGTCCAAATCCCATAGCTTTCAGCTGTTCGGGAAAACCACCAAGTTAACCAGGAGTTGTTGTTTTTTCTTGTGAAAGGGTCGGCAACTTGGGGGGGGGGGGGTTTTCACGCTCCCCACAAAGAAGTGGGCCGGAAATGGGCGTCCTTTTTCAGGAAACCCCCAAAAATGGCTGCTGTCCTTTTAAAACCGAAAAAAGATGAGGTACCCTCAAACAAGCCCGTTTTTTTTGCGGACCTCCCCCTACCAAAAAAAACATGGAATTATGTCGGCGTTCCTTGCTTTTCTTCGCTCAACAAAAAAAGGACAACCCCCCAAAAACAAAAAACAAAAAAGCAGCTCACCTGCTCTGAGGCCGCGTCGCGGGGGATATTCGGCTGAAGCTTTCTGGCTCGGGCAGAAACACCCTGGCGCGCACACGCGGGAGAAACGCGGATTTGTTGCGGACGGAAGGAACGTTGCGGTGCGTGAACCTAAATTATTGACTAAAGGGTGTCAAACCGTGCCACATATGGGTGTGTCTCAACATAGGGTCCAACAAAACACGGATCTCGCGTGTCCTTGCTATTTCTCTTTAAATTTCAAACCTTCCGTTGCTCAAAAAGGGTACCTTTCGCCTAACAAATAAAACACAGAGCCACATGCCTTTTGAGGGAACCCTTCGGGTTGTTGTTTTTAAGGGAAAACTCAAGCTTCCGCTATGAAACGTAGCAGGGAACACCCGAAAAATGGCGGGTGGACACAAATGCCGGTGTACATGATGGGTCCCCAAATAAGACTCTTGCCAAGTGGATAAAAAATAATAATAGAGGAATGCGCAAAATGGTGGCTGTTCCTCTTGGCTTCCCTCAAAACCAACCACAAAAGGCAGGTTGCTAGGAGTTGCTGAGGTGAAAAGGCCGTTGCAATTCTGTCTTCCTCCCGACTGTTGCTCCAACTGTAAACGTGCCCGCAGCACCCTCCAAAAAAGAGAACTTCAAGCCCTAGATTGGGGCCACGGATGGCCAGTTTCATACGATCCCATATGGCTACGGGTCAAAACCCAAATCGTACCCCCAGTGAACATCCGATTCAATCCCCACTATAGACCAAGCTGGGTGCTGAATTCACCAATCCCCCAAAATGGGATCCCAAAACGGTGTTGACCACCACGGCCGGGCCGAAACCTGCAAGGGACCGAGGGACCGAGGGACCGAGGGACCCGAGGCACTGGGCGCCCCACTCCCGGCGCAGCAGGGGGTGCTCGTGCGGCTGCTCCATCTCCCCGGGCTCCCAACTGTTGGCCTCGCGGGCCGCGGGGGCCGCGGGCGGGGCACTCGGTCCGGCAGAGGCCCCCGGCCGGAAGCCTATTTGTTTTTGCCTAGTGGATCGCTACCAAGTCTCTACCATAACGGTTAGAGTAAGGGTACCACCTTTTTTCGGTAGTCTATTTTAGTAGTGGATCGCTACCAAGTCCCTACCAGAACGGCTTTGGAACAAAAATACAAACCTTTTTTTGTTTTTTCGGTAGTCTATTTTAGTGGGGGAACCGAATCTCCCAACCAAGAATGGGTCAAAGGGCGCTACTGGGAGACCTAGACAAGACCCACAGGTTCAAACGCAAATCCAAACCAATCCCAACAAAAGGGTTGCCTTGGTTGATTGCTGGGCCCGTGAAAATCAACTTCGGCTCCTTCTTGAACAGACGGGGGGGGGGGGGCTTCCATATCTGCAGAGATTGATTTCACCCCCCCCCCAAACACCATCGATTTCTCCGGTTGAACTTGATCTCGCCAGATTTGGGAGCTTTGCTACAGGGACTTGGGCCTCCAAAATAGTGGGTTCCATTTAAACCGTTTCTCAAACACAGGAGCAAAAAAAACAAAACACGCGCGCACACGCACATTTGCACGCAAGCTTCTCAGAGTCCCATGTTTGTTGTAGAAGCCAAAAGAAGCGAACCTGGGCTCCGAGATAACAACAGCTTCAAGGCTCAACTTGAGATGCGCATTTAAATGAGCACGTCCCACAGTTACCGCCGATGGCCGGGCACCTGAGAAACAAATGAAATTAGGTTGACTTCTGTTGAACACCAGTTTGCTAATAGTTGTTGGTTTTTTTTCAGGGCTTAGTAAGGAATCATCACTTTTGCAGGGGGAGCACTCCTATTCATAAACTGATTCAAACGAGTTGGGTCAAAGTCAGTTCTTTGGGGTCTCCAAGTTGCCTGGATTTTGCAAACCCACTGTCTATTTTCTACTTACCGGTCATACCCCAAACGATCACCACAACAGGCGCCGACGGGCGCTTGTAAAACGGACCCAATGACTCAATGAACAAACAGGGCGGAAGTGGCTGAAAGCAAATGAGAAGGCTCCCCATGGCTTACACAACCCACACAAATCAATTGGGGGGCCTATTGATCAACTTGGGGTTTGACATCATCAAAGCGTCCCGCAAAATGCCTCGCCAGTGCCCTACTGCAGGGTCCATCAGCTTCGTCTCATCGGATCTTGCTGCTCGAGAGGTGTGTTTGCTGAGGCCCCAGCCGAAAAGCTGGAGCCCGGGCGCAAGCCTGACACGATCGACCCGCGGTGAAGGGAAAGGGGACCCGCGGTGTGAATTTTGAAAAGGGCTCCCTTTGGACTTTTTCTTAGGCAGGGGATTCACAATCCACTTGTAAGGTGATTCCCCAGAAAGATTCAAAGCCATCGGAGGTTCCGAACAAACCCGTCCGAAGGGAAGGCTTCGCGCTGCTTGTAACAGGCCCTATCCTATTTTGAGAACCAAAGGGGTGTCTTTCTTGAAGGTAGCCCTCTTGGTTTGGCGGTTTTTAAGGGAAACTAAAAGGAAAACCGCCATTTTAGCTGCCCCCCCGGGAGAGCGGTCCCCCCCCCTTTTTGAGACAAACCCATGCACGAGGTATCGAGCCACAAAAACCGACTCCGCCTGGTGGCGGCGGCATCTGCATGCGCCTGAACCTCAGCATGTGTTTCTTCACGCCCCGTCCCACTTCAAAGTCTTCTTAAAATGGCTCATGGTTTCACTAACATGAAAGCTTCTTCTTCTTCTTCTTCTCAAAAAGTCTTCTTAAAATGGCTCATGATTTCTTCTTCTCAAAGTTTCTTCAAAGTCTTCTTTCTCTCACTAACATGGCACCTCACAGGGGTCCCTCCAAAAGGAAACTGATCTTCCAGATACCCTCCCACAGGTGCCATGTTGGTGGGAGAAAGGGTCTCTCTTTTTGGGGGACCTTTCGAAATGGTTTTTTGTCCTTTTGGTTTTCCTTGCAAACCACCCAAGGGGAAACCTCCAACCAAGACCACATGCTCCTTTTTGGCGTCACCCCTTGACCTCGAAACACGAACCAGAACCAACTCGCCGTCCAACTCGCCGCTACTTCGAGGCGTCGGCTGGTGGCCACCTCTGTGAACCCCATGTATCACCTCAGGGCGGGAGGCTGGGAGATGCCGGGGGAAGGATAGGGAACGACCGCCTGGGCCGGCGGCATCGCCTTTCAAAAGGACTATGTTTGAACCCCTGGGCAAACCCCAGGAATCTTCATCGTTAGCTAGGCCTCAATGAATTTCAACCTATAACTACGAGACCAGGTCCTGGGGTTTATCCAGGAATTCCAACATTGGACTCTTAAGGCAACTTGGGGAACATCACAGCTCGGGGCTGGAAAGTCTCTCTCACAGAGACCCGTGCGGATTCGGCAAATCCTTGATTGACGTTGGAATGGGGAGCAACGATTTAAATTTTAGCAGTTAAGTGGGGATTTCCCACTAAACCACAACAAGCAAAAATGTAAAATGCTTCCCAACGACAACCATGAATCCCAACCCGGTTCGCCCGGTAAGTTGCCAGCCCCAGCTTCGCCCAGGTCGATGTCTACCTTGGCGCGGCTGTTTGCGCCGCACGTCGGAACGGCGCGCCCACTGAGGGGCACGGCAGGCGCCCCAAATTACCCCAATATGCCATGGGTGCTGGGGTCAAGTGTGCTTGGTTTACTTGCAAGAGGGCATCCAGTGAGTGGGCTACAGGGAAACAACCCCAGTTTCTGAGTGTGATAACCCCAGAAACAGGCAAAAAATGACCCCGCTAAGATCGGGGAAAAAAAAGTGAGGACTTGCTAATTCCAATCAAGCGAAGTCTCTCCACAAAGGAGTTGATGATCCCAAGAAGTCGTGCAATAATTGAGTCATACACAATAACTGTTCTTTTTCGTTTTTCTCTCTCTCTCTTTTTTTCCGGGGGGCGGGGGCTTCCCAAACCCATCAATCATCCATGCTATGAGGTGCTTAAAAGTACATTATGCTCAGAGCATTCAGATTTCTACCTGGTCGAGTACGGGATTGGAGCGAGGCTTCGCTATCAGAATGCCGTTGTTCCCCAGGACATGGGGGGAATTTCTCAAAATTGGGGACCGATTCCTCCAAGTAAAGTGGTGTCCTTTGAAAACCATCCATAAAAAGGGTCCCCGATCTTTTGAGACACATGGCAACTTTCACTTGAACCCTGTTGTGGGGACTTCGCACAACTCTCGGCTTCTCCCAAGCTCAACCAATCAGTCTTTGTCAGCTCATAAGCCGCCCCGACCCTGCGGGACCCCGGCTTCCTGGTCGTTTGGTCCAGTCTTTGCCCACCAAAAACAGACCTAGCATGTGTCTTTGTAAGGTACCCCACCAAAATGGTTTGCGGCGTTCCTCTTCCCTTCAAAAGCAAAACAGAGGTATCAAGAATAGAAAGCCCAGCATTTCACCCTGCTCACCTGTCTCAACTTTGGGAGAGATCGGATCTGGGGATCCGACCCTGAAAGTCAGGCCCTCTCCTTCCATGCGTGGGTTCTCCTGGTCAAACCTCGCGCAAATCGGCCCATGAACCCATGGGACCTGGAGACGCTCCGAACTTTCCTTGGCAAGTCGCTTCATGTCACTGAAATGGCTCTGGTGGTCAAAACCCAGCAAAAACCCCTGGTGAACGTCAATATAGGTGGCAAATCAAATGGATCTTCATCCTCCCCAAAATGGAGCCATAGGTTATGCCCCATGGCCAAATCTCACTTTCATAGAACCTCCAAGCTTAGAAGGTACTGGAACCACGAACCTTAGAAACTGTGGTCAGTTGCATGGTTCATGGTTTCATGGCACCACTTGAAAGGTCATGGTTCATGGCTCCAGGGAACCATGATGGCTAAGGCACCCTCTCCAAACTTAGAAGTGCGAGTCCCGGCAAGACGTGCGGCTTCGGCCACATCCGGCTGGCGCCCAACTTCAAGATCCGAGGCCCCGGCACTTGGATGGCGTTCTGCAAGACCTCGGCATCGGCGGCGCTCGCTCTCTGCGGCTTCCGGGTCGACACGTCTGGCTGGAAACCTACCCGGAAACCAGGCCGACTCCCGGCGGAAAGCGCCTTTTGGAACCTGCTCGGAAGCGCTGGGCTACCAACCCGGGATGTAACCCACTGGGTGCCGAGCTAACCCTGGGATCTCTCACCCAAGGCCTCTTCCACTCCATGCAACGAAGATCCGAGGACCGGGAGCGACTCTCAGGGCGTCACGCTCGCAATGCCCTGCCCATCCGAGAAATCGGCATTCGCCTCCCCATCGTAGTCCTGCGCATCCGCCCGCTTCGGCACCCGGCTCTTCTTCTCTTCTTTTGTGGCTCGTCTGTCCCCCCCCCCCAAAAAAAAAACAAGCAAAAAAGAAACCAACAAACAAGGTGACTTTGTCCCCCTTTACTTTTGCTTTAAGCCAACTCAACAAGGGAAGCCTCAAAAGACGAGCCACCCAAATGTCCTCTGGCGGGAATTGCGTGTCCCAGGTCCGAGACAGGCCAAACATGTGTGCGATCCGATCGCTGACCTCCTCCACCTCGTCGTATTCTCCATCTTCATCCTCATCCTGACAGCTTCCAGTTCAAGCGCTGTCACCCAAGCAAAACATGGATGGGGCAATGCGGCATTTCTGAGGTTTCAACAAGATCCCCGAAGAAGAAAAAAATAAGTGAGCCTCCTCGCCATCATCCCGCACATGGTGCTCACCGTCCTGCGGACTCACTGCAATGTGCTGATCGGAAACCTGGGTGGGGGGGGCTCACAATGCTCGTTTTGGTCTGAACCGGAAACCAAATAGGATTTAACCCATTTTGGGGTTGACCTATTTTGAGAAACACTCATATACCAACTATGCACTTCTGTCCTTTCAAAACGAGTCTACAACAGGGTTCCTTCAAGGATACATCCAACAATCACCTGATTTACAATGGCAAGTGCGCAACTAAGTAACTATGAACAACAGGCAGTTGGACACACAAAGAGCCTTGGACGAGACATGTTTGAACAGCGACTACGAGGATCCAACAACTGGGAACGGCAACGGCAATTCGGGTGTCGCAGGTCATGAACAAGGGATCCTCTGAAACAACTAGTAAAGGTGCTCTTTAACTGGCCCAAATGGCTGTGGCTTAACCCCAGCTGCTTAACTCTGAGCCACACCCAAATGTATCATTTAAGGGACCCTCAGGGATCCCAATCTGCTTGACACATCCCAGAATTCGGATCCTCATCTGCTTCCATTTGGTCCATTTCGCCGCCTTCTTCGTCCTCATCTTCGTCCTCGCGCATGTGGACTGATTTGACTTGTTCCCCGTATGGGAAAACTTGGGTCTCAGCCCGGGGCGTCCTTCTGTGGTTGAGATGTGCAAAGTCGCCCCCCTCCCTTCACCAAGAGGCCGAAATTCGTCAGACGTCACCTGGGTGATGGGTGTGAATCCATGAGATCCCCCCAAATGGGTAGCTTCCCGACTTGTTTGAACCACTTGCCAAGTTGCCACTTGCGTAACCAAAATGCCTCGTCCTCGTCCATGCCTTCGCCACCCTCACCCATGTCATCGTCGTCCTCGGCAAGGCGCAACGGCCACAGAATGATATGAGCCACGCTCCGAAAATTCCCTTTTGGGGCTTGTTTGTATGGGAAGCCAAAAAGACACCCAACTATTTTGCCGTTTCCCCTATCTTGACACGTGCCCATGTGAGCCACGCGTGAACTACTCGTTCCCCCGACACGGGACATGGGAATTTTAGCACTGGCCCCTGCGTTGTTGTTCTTGAAATCTGGAGCTCGTACCCCCAAGTCCCTCCTAAATATCTAAATGGACCAGAGACAAATCAGCGTAGGTTTACTGAACATGAGCCACGGTCCATATTGATCATGTCCCGCGACATTGGATTTCGGTGAGTGTAATGTCATTCCTGTATGAGCAGCGCTCGCTTCACCTGTTGACTTTTGAAAAATCAGTCCTTACGCAGATCCCCAAGCAAGGTGGGCGGGTCAAAAATAGGGCAACCCCAAAATGGGCTGCCCTGATACATGGAAACAAGGACCCGCGGTTTTTGCGGTGGTTTTACTTTGACCCATACCCAGGTAGCTGAAACATCTACTCAAATGGCTGGGAATTGGCTTCGGGCGCTGCTCTCATCTGTTGGGCGCCAGGCATCTTCCTCCTCACCTGCAACCTCTGCATCCTGCGCAAAATGGGCCGGGAAAGGAAAGGGGTCGGAGATATCTGCATCTACTGCTTGGAGAACTTTTAGTGTATGTCACAAATCCCTCGAAACCCCAAGAGCGGTCAGCACCGTGAGCGCTGTTTTTCTTCTGCAAAACAAAAGTGGCGTCTGTTATTTGCGCAATCTATGCAAGCCATGTCAATCATAGCGTGTGATCCGCTTGCTCTCTAGTAATGTTTAGTCAGGAGCAAGCCTCTGTCTGAGAGACGTGTCCCTGTCTTTCCAAACAAATAGAAATAAGTGTGCTGACGGGGTGAGACACCGAATGGTTCTGGCAAGGTAGGCACGGTAAAAGCAAATTTAGAAAACAACACTCAGTGACTTAGTAATGCAAAATCCAAAAACACAAGTATATTTTTTGGAATTCCCGAATGCACAAAGCACAAACAGCAAATCCCAAACAACTTCGAGAATTTGGAAACTGCCAAAATTCCCGACATCTCAGCAACTATAGCTGGGATGGCAATTTCAAAACATGACCAGAAAACACATGTCTGTTCTGTTTGGGGAATGCACAATTCCACAGGAACAAGAACTTCCAAAAATTACACAAACTCAGCAACTATGTCCGGGATGCAAATGCTTGTTTGAAAAATGCGGTTTTGGGCGAACACGAGGCAGCCCAGGGAATCAAAGAGGTACACGTAATCCACGAAGTACCAAAAGAACCCAGTCTCAACGCACAATGGAGAAGGTGCTGATGACCAGGTTGTGGGAGTGACAGTTGAAGAAGATCAGGTTTGGGGAGGTTAGAAAAGGGATTGCAAAACGGTAGTTTGAGGGACAGGCCCAAGGACACCTCGACGGCCCACCGAACACCTCCTACCCCCAAAGCGCCGCGGCACCACAAAGCTTTTTGCGGTGACGAAGAGCGATGCCAGGATATGGCGTTCGCACGCGAGTCCGAGGGGAACTTGACGGGAGTTCCCAAAACTTGAGCCAAACGGCCATTCGGCCGTTTTGCCACATGAAGAAACAACACGTGAACAAAACACACCCCCCTCATCCGATATCTTGACGAGAGAAAGGATGCGAGACAGTTGAGTTCACGACGAAAGGGACCAACCAAAAATGCCGGTGTCAACTCAGAGGTGAGCCAAACGGCATCACCTGGGCCCCAGTTAAAATCCCGCCACCACCCCGAATTATCGGGGCGACAGGATTATTTGACGAGTGGACCACATGAGTGAACAAAGACATATTGGAGGAACCAGACGAAGATTCCTCTCGTGCCGTTCATGCATTGTCATGGGACGACAACATGCGGAGGGGGACCCTATCTGGATCACCGCGCCTCACTGCACGCCGTGAAGTGGTTGGAGAAGTAGTCGAGTTGGGAGGAAATTAGAAAAGGAAGTTCCGAAATCGGTGTGAAAATATCCGGCTACGGCCGGCCCGACACTTCTAGTGCGGTCACAGCCTCACACAGGATCGCCATGGGAACCGTCTCCGGCGCGCACGGCAGCGGTGCGGGAGGGACACGAACAACGCCGGATCAGCGGTACAGGGCAATGGAGACCATCACCCCCAGCAGTGCCGCATGGGCGAGAGGAGGACCGGCGCGGTCGCGTTTTTCGGCGACACGCGTGCCATCCTCGCCCTTCTAGGGCGGATGCTGACCGCGGTACCTGCCTACCACCCTGAACCAGGTTCTTCCCGGTCTCTGGGCGCGTCGTCTCTCCGGCGTCCACCGCGGTCACCTCGATCACCTCCTCCATCCCGACGGCGATCCTCACCACCACCCCTACTGTGGTCGCCAGCCGGAGGTCGGCGAGGCGGAGGGGGATCTGATTGGTGACGTCGGTCATCCCTGCGCCGGTCCCGGTGGCGATCGCGACGGTCATCAGCCGGGTCATCACGTCCGCGGCGCTCATCTCGCCCCGGACCGCGCCTCTCAGATGGCTCCTCATGACGTGGTGGAGGTCGGCGATCATCGCGTCTGCCTCCGCGGGTACCCTGCCACGATCATCCCTTTGTCGGGGCGGGCCAGGATCCTCGCGTCCACCTTTGCCAGGTCGATGTTTTCCTCGACCCTTCCCCTCACCCTTAGGGCCGCGACGATCCTCGCGGGCTCCAAGCGCGGTCCTTGACCGATCGTCATCTCGGTGGGGCCGTGACTCATTGGCCGCACGAGTGGTCCGAGGCACGCCCGGGGGAAGCTCCCACTCATCGTTATCGTCATCGCGCGGGTCATAGCCGCCATGGCCGCCCAAGGAACCGGTGGCATCCCGTGGTGGGGACGCAGGAGTTCCGGGACCGCCCGATCGAAGGCGAACCCGGGGAGTCGCGTCCTCGCCGGCAAAAGGATCCTTCTGGGTGTAGAAACCCTTGGTTCTGCCCCTTCCCCTTCCGCACCGCTTCTCGCGGGGACCGGGGATGGACGGGCAGGCTGGGCCATGCTCTTAGAGCTGGGTTGCCCGCCAGGCGGGACTTGAACGCCCCCCTGCCCTTTCTCGGGCGCGGGGACCCGACCACAGATGTATGTCCTGGCCTTGGGTTGGTCGGACTCACCCTCCAGCTCGGACTCGGTGTCAGGGACACGAGTATTGACGGCCATGTCCTCTTCCTCAAACGGATCCCCAGCCGTGGTAACGCCGGCAGCAATGGGAGCGGGAGGAGGAGGAGGAGGAGGAGTTGGCACAGCTTCGCCAGAACCGACGCCTGCGTGCGACACCACGGGAGTCTCCGGTTCTACCGGGACAGGCGGCGCAGGAGGAGCCGGGGGCGGTGGCGGAGGGGGAGGGATCTCCTCCTCGTCGTCGCCCATGGGCTCGTCAAGATCGTCAGGCTTCTCGTCATCCTTGTGCGAAGACCCAGCAAAGTCGGGCTCGTCTTCGTCTTTCACGCCGGGGCCTGGTGTAAGGCGAATTCCGGGTCGATGGCGATCGCAGGGTCGGAAGCGGTATTTCCTTGGTACAGGGTCGGCCAGCTCCTGCTTGATGTCATCCTGGGTTTGAGGACGGTCGGCCAAGCATGTGTCGTAGGCAACGGTGGACGTCCGGTAGATCAGATCATCCATACTGCTGAGGTCGTTGAGCGTGTAGACGTATCCCTTCTTAATGCCTTCCCGTATCGTGTCCATTGCCTGTTTGAGGCGCGCGGCGGGATCGAATCCGGCCTTTCTCCGCATGGCCTGCATTATCCCGCAGTGCTGTGCGAGCAGCCCCACCTGGGTCTTGAATCCCTCCCCGGACACGTCGTTGGGGAGTATCGGAGAAAGGTGCCCTGATCTCAGCCCAATGATATGGGCCTCAACCATGTAGTAGGACGTGTAAAAGCCACACCGGTTGGCGTTGAAGTTTGCGGTGGTTAGGCGTCTGCCCCACTCAGCCGCATATCCCTCATATTCTTCGAAGAATTCGGGGACGGAGCTCCCGTTGAAGGCAAGACCCCTAACCAAGATCGCCTTAGCGACCCACTCTTCCACGTTGTGGTCGACCGTGTCACGGTATTTGCCGTCAAGAACTTCGTCTCGGAGCGAGTCGTGAAGTTTCCGGAAAATGCCATCCACGTCCTCTTTGTCGAGGTACTTAGGAGGCCGCATCCCAGACATCAACAAGGACCGGGCATCAACGGCGGGACTCTGCGAGTAGAGGGCCATTCCGATGGCGTTGGCGTCTGCGTTGTTCCACAGAGCGGGGACGACGCCCTCGTATTTTGCCAGCCAGGGAGGAATCACCCCGTCGGTGCTCGCTATCGTGCGAGGGCCGCCGTTCGTGTCTCCGGTGGGCAGGACGCCCTCGTAGAAGATGGGAAGGTAGCAGGCGGTGCACAGGTGAGCGCCGATCGGGTGGGCCGTCATGCACCTATGGCATGGAGCGGACACCACCTCGCGGACATGCTCCGTCTTGGTGATCTGGTGATACTTCTCCATCTCGTCCCGACACTTCCTCGGGTTATCACTCACGGAGTTGAGGAAGTTGGGCGGATAGCACCAAGGCCTCAGGTAAATGATGGAGCAGTCCTCCTTGAAGTAGACGCATCTCCAGTACCCGATCGCGATGTTCTCGCGCGATGCAAAGGTACCCTGACGAGTAATATGCATGCCCCCATTTTCCATGGAGAAGAAACGTGCATCGATAGCCATGACCACATATCGGGGATCGCTCCTTTGACGTCGACCCGAGGTGTGCAGCTCCGTCACATTGCTGTCGGTGATGCGGTCAACAGTGTCGTTGGGGCATTCTCCGTGATCGCGGAGGGACTGATATTCATCCGGCCTAGAGGGAAGGAGCTCGATCAGAGCTCGCCCACCTCGAATGATCGCCCCACGTTCTACGTAGAGCCGATACATCCGGAGAGGCACCACCTTGTAGAGTGTCTTGGGAACCACCTTGGATGTGATAGGAAGACAAACAGGGCTCTCGTAGAGCATGTATTGGTATCGTTCACGAAATGCTCGGTAGTCAGTGTCGGATCCGATCTCAAGCGACCTTACCGCCGCTATGCGGGCGGAACCAGGCAGCAATCGACGCTCCTTGTCACGAATGACGGTGATGATGATTTCGAACATACCCACCCCGTCTTCGAGGAAGGAAGACAGGAGGTACGATGAAAAGGCATCCTCAGACTCGACGCTGGTCCCGAAGTAGTGGCTCAGTGAGGAACTTCTTCAGCTGTATCACCGAAGTGACGTTCCCTTGCCCGCTGGCAGACGAGGCCTCCAATTCTGGGTCCTTGACTGCACCTGCATTTCCAGGCTGCACAGCTGTTCCACGGAGCGCGTCGCGTATTTCCGCGCATGCTCTCCTGTAATAGTGCGAAGAGGCGCCCGCCCTACCCTTCACCTTCTGACGGATCTCGTCGGTGAAGTAGTCCAGAAGTTCCTCGGGTGCGGGAACAATGGCCTGGATCATCAGGTCAGGGTCACTTCTGGTCGGGAGGATAGGTCCTGCTCTGGACCTCACTCCCATCTCCAGGAATCGGGCAATGTCGGCGCACAGAGTAGTGATCGTGTT